ATATAGAAACTGTTCTTTCAACAGGCTTTTTAGAAGTTCCTTAATCTTCAAAACAAGAAATATATCTTTACATATTGTTGAGAGGATAAATGGATGTGTCTCAATAACCGCTCCACAATTTCAAAATTCACAAAGCTCAGAACACTAAATTTTCAACAAAAGCTAACCTTGGGCTAGCCATTATCATTAACACACTTTCTGGGATGCTAAAATACTAATTTTTCATGATTAGGTGCTTCCTAAGACACTTTGAAGAGAATTATGTAATATATACATTTTATTTACTCTCTAAAATCTGAAAAATTCAATTTCCAAGACATATATGGTCTCAAGATTATTTATGCTTACACATTTTATCATTTAAAAAATTTTAAAATTCATTTTATTTCTTGGAGATAGGTTTTACTTTGTAGCGTCTTGAACACACTATGTAGCCCAGGCTGGCCTCAAATTTGCAATACTCCTGCCTCAGCCCACATCAAGGATTTTAGATAAATAATTTTTGGACCTGCTCTTAGTATAGTATCTGCCCACTTTTACAGTAAAGGTTAACTGCTCATGTTCAATAGAACCTATACTCTAATAAAATGGAAATACAGAGTGGACAGATTTCTAGATACATATGAATTTCCAAAGTGGAATGAAGAAGATAGAAAAATTCTAAACATGCCAAATACAATCAGTGAACTTGAAAATGTAATGAAAAATTTACAACAAAGATAAGCTCAGATCCTGATGACTTCATTACTTAATTCTCCAGAATATTTAGAGAACTATTGCCACTACTTTTGAAACTTTCAAATACAATTGAAAGAGAAGCAAGTTTTCCAAATTCATTTCTAGAAGAATGTATGACTTTGATGCCAAAACCAGGGAAAGACCTAACCAAGAAAGAACTACAGGCCATTCTCCCCAATAATCATAGATGCAAAAATCATCAATAGGATACTTGCAAACAGAATACAAGGGCCATCAAGAAGATTATACACCTTACCAAGTCAGATTTATCCCAGAGATGCAAGGATGGTTCAAAATATGCAAATCAATAAATGTAATACACTCTAACAGTCAAAGACAAAAAACATATGATCATCTCAATAGCGGCAGAAAAAGCATTAAACAAAATTCAACACCCATTCATGATAAAAACCCTGCAGAAAATTGCAATACATGGTCTCTATCTTGACTTGATAAAGGCTATCTATGACAAACCAATAAGCTAACATCACACTAAATGGACAAAAATGAAAACTTTCATGCTAAAATCAGGAACAAGACAAGGATGTCCACTATCACCACTCCTGTTCAATATAGTTTTGAAAACATTAGCCACAGCAATTACACAAGAGAAAGAAAAGCAATAAAGAAAGGAATAAGTTACACTGTCATTATTTGCTTACAATATGATACTCTACATAGAAGACGTGAAAAATTACACCAAGACTTCTAGATTTAATTGACAGATTTAGTAGAGTAGCTGGATACAAGGGTCACCACTCAAAAAATCAATAGCCTTCTTGTACACAAATAACAAAATTACTGAGACAGAAATTAGGGAAACAATCCCTTTCACAATAGCATCCCCCCACCAAATGAAATATCTAGGAATCAATCTAATGAAGCAAGAAAAAGACCTCTACATTGAAAACTACAACACTGTGAAAAAAAAAAAACAGATCAAAGAGGATATAAGAAAGTGGAAAGATATCCCTTGTTCCTAGGTAGGAAGAACCAATATAGTGAAAGTGGCCATACTTCCAAAACTGCTATACAGATTCAACGCAATCCCAACAGTATATTTTACCTAACTAGAGAAAACACAAAAATTCATTTGGAATCAGAAGAGATAGTCAACAGAGATATGACAGGGGGTATCATAATCCCCAACTTGAAACTACACTACAAAGCCATTGTGATAAAAACAGCATGGTACTAACAAAGAAACAGACCCAAGGATCAGTGGAATAGATTAGAAGATGCAGAAACAACTCCAGACATACTCAGCTACCTCATCTTTGACAAAGCAGCCAACCATCCTCACTGGAGGAAAGATAGCCTCTTTAATAAGTGGTGTTGGAAAAACTGGACTTTAACTTGTGAAAGATTAAAACTGGAACCCTATAATTCGCCATGCAGTAAACTAAAATGGAAGTGGATTAAAGATTTAAATATTAAAACAGAATGTTAAATTTGTTGGAAGATAGGTTCTGTAAAACTCTTGGAAGACATTGGCATAGGAAAAGACTTTAAGAACAAATCCCCAATACCATGGGAACTAGCACAAAGAATCAACAACTGGGATCTCATCATTCAAAAAAGCTCTGCACTGCAAGAAAATCATAAACAGAGCTAAGAGACAACCTACAATGTGGGAAAACATTTTTACCAGCTGTTCCTCAAAGGTCTACTATACAGAATATATAAAGTACCCAAAAACATCAAACCCCCCAAATATTAAGATCCAATTCAAAAATGGGCATCTGAAATGAACAGACATTTCTCAAAGAAGCAAAAGTAGCAAATAAACATATGAAAAATGTTCAACATAACTTATCATTTGAGAGATGCAGATGAAAACAACACTGAGAGTTCACCTCACCTCAGAAAGAATAGCTGCTATCAAAAACTCAACAATAACAAGTATTGGTGGGGTTGTGAGATAGGAACCGTCATCATTGTTGATGGGAAAACAGACTGGTTCAACCATTGTGGAAATCAATATGGAGATACAAGGACTAGAAGACCCATTTGTCCCAGTTATCCCTCTGCTGGGTATTTTACAAAAGAATTAGAAGAATCACACCACAGTGATATATGCTGTTCACACCAGAGAAACTATTCAGTATATACACGTGTGTCCTATTTCACTTGAGAATGTCCTCAATGTACATCCACTTAGCTATAAAAGTCTAGTTTATCGTTCTTTATGGCTGAGTAGTACTCCATTTTATTAAAAGCCACATCTTTCTCCAATTCCCAGTTGATGGGCAATTAGGCTGTTTCCAAGCTTTAGCTATGACAAGCACTGCTGCTGTAAACATGGGTGAGTACATATCACTGTGAAATGAAGTGGGAGGGATAGGGAAAAATAATGGAAAAGGGGAAAAAAATAACCAAGATACAGCATTTAAAGGAACAAGATCCCAGTGATGAATGTAACTGTACTGTATACCTAAAATGTACCAATAAAAGAAAAAAATTTTCTTGGCTGTTTTTAATAGTCAAGAATGAACTGTCCATTGCTAACAAAGTTTTGTTAGTCCAGATTCATATTCAAGGACATTAAAAAAATTATGCAATAGGAAAATCTCATATATGACCATGAATTATGTTAAATAAAAAACAGCTGGAACTTTTGCTAAGCAATGTAACTACTGGTTATATACTCATACAAGCAGTATATACCAGGTTATCTTTATCCCTCAGTGAACAAGATCATTACTCTAAACCAGCAGTGGTGAACCTACTGTATGCATCTTTTCTTTCAAGATAAAAGATGTAAATGAGTTGTTTTTTCCAAATGAAAACCTCAGTTTCACATTTAATTGCATTATTGGTACTTTGCAGTAAGTAACTGGGTTTCAGTTTGCAGTTTGGGCATTTTTCTCTAAATGGTTTGTTATGACTGCTCTGTATTAAACAGTAATTTCAGGGAAAAGCAGAGAAACGTTTTAATGTGATTTCAGTGAAAACACATTTGGCATTTAAAAAAATAATTGAGAACAAGTCTAAGAATATCATTATCAGTTGAAATTCTGGCCTGGGAACCACTGGTATAACTTTAAAATCTTGCTGAATCAGGTCTTTTTTTAAAAAAAAAACTCTTTTCATTGGTAATGAACTTTGTATATTAAGAGTACCTGAGTAAGGGAGTTCACAAAGATAGGTAATTTTTATATATTCATAACAACTTCCATATTAACATTTATGTATACAAACATCTGACATTCAGAAGTAAGGACAGAGGTTTGAAGGTGATTTTTAGAATCACTACAGCATACAAAAAAAGGTCAGTAGCTGTAACTATCGGAATTACATAGTTCTAATGACTTGTACCTGTACACTCAGAAACTGAAGAGCATGGACTAGTTCAGAAAATGTTAACTAGCCACAAGGACAAATGAGTGTAACTTTCCTTCAAATCCTTAATTTTAAAAATAGTATTTGAGAGGAGTGATTTTACACTAAATAACAAAAAACTCTTACACAAAACAAAAAACAAAACAGGTTTTAATAAGTAAAACAGATTCTTAATGGGTTTATAATCACCATGAACTAAGGGAAGCCCTAGCAACAGAAATAAAGACTTTAAAATTGCATGCAAAATCTAGTTAACATAAAACACAAAGCAATACCAAAATATCTCAGCCTCCTAGCATGAACTCCAGGTCTTTTTATTTCCAATTATTGGTAATCAAAATATGTACACTTTCACATGCTCCTGGTAGCGTAGTAATAAGCTTTATCATCTAGTTTTACAAATATCTTTCACAGATGGGATGTCACCCAAAAGTATTTTCTTTCACATATTTTGGGCCCATCTTGTGGGGAAAAAGGCACTCCCAAAGATTCCTTGACAACACTTTTGCTAGGTTAACTACTCACATAATCTTTATATATAAAGTTAATGGCTCACCCATTTCACTGATCTGAGCACCACCAGGTATTGAAACTACCTTTCATTAACTCACATGTCAAACAGTTGACTTACCAATGGAAAAAACATTTGTATACTGGTTTCAATGACATCTGGACTTTGACAACTTACATAAGCTTGATCACTGGGCTTTGGCATGCATAGCCAAACATTATCATAGAACTGCAAGGACCACCATGAGATGGTGGCATAAGATTCAGTTTTTAACATCAGTGCCTTTTGCTCCCAGTTCCCTTGTACTAACTCAACTTTGTCCTTCAGAGTACTTCCACATGCTTTGCTTAAGATGTTTATGTAAATTAGTCTTTCTCTATGATCATGAAAACAAAAGTTGGAAGTCAATTGCCCATGGGCAATTGTCTACTATTCACAAGATCTTTAGAAACCATTTGCTTGAGGTCAAGGACAATTTACCATTAAATCTAATCCACATTTAATCATACTAAAACTGCACTTGGGTAGCTAGTCTCAAATTGAGCCTATTTTTCCACATTTTATTGCATCCATGCAGTATGCAATTTTTGATGCTGAATAAGAGAAATATGGCAATCAAAGGCTTCACCACAAGCATCACATTCATACGTTTCTTGGGTTTTGACCTCTGCGTGGATCTTCTGGTGGTTGACAAGGCTGCGCTGCTGACTGAAACTTTTGTCACATTTCTCACACTTGTAAGGTTTTTCTCCTGTATGTATTCTCTGATGTTGTGTAAGACCTGAGTTTCGGCTAAAGGCCTTTCCACATTCCTCACATTTATGAGGCTTATTACCTGTGTGAACACCCTGATGTCGGATGAGATTACAAAGTTGACTAAAACTTTTGCCACACTGTCTGCACAGATAAGGTCTCTCACCAGTGTGGATTCTCTGATGTTCTATAAGAAAAGAGCTTCGACTGAAGCTTTTCCCACAAACAGTACATAAGTAGGGCTTTTCACCAGTATGGATTCTTTGATGTTGTACAAGGTGAGCACTGACACTAAAAGTTTTTCCACATTCATCACATTTGTAAGATTTTTCCTTAGGGTAGACCTCTTGCTGTATAATAAGACTGCAGTTTGGATCAAAACTTTCCTTAGTTTCATTGTATGGATAAATCTTCTCCCTAGTGTGGATTCGCTGATGCTGAATAAGACCTGAGCTTCTACTAAAGGCTTTTCCACATTCCTCACATTTATGAGGCTTGTGTCCTGTGTGAATTCTCTGATGACGAGTGAGGTTGCAAAGTTGACTGAAACATTTCCCACATTCTTTGCACTGATAAGGTCGTTCACCTGTATGGATCCTCTGATGTTCAATAAGGAATGAACTCCGACTGAAGCTTTTTCCACATTCAATACAAAGAAAAGGTTTCTCACCAGTGTGGATTTTTTGGTGTTGTATAAGGTATGTACTTAACCTAAAGGCTTTTCCACATTCACCACATTTATGGGGTCTTTCCCCAGTGTGAATTCTCTGATGTTCAACAAGCAGTGAATTTCTACTAAAGCTTTTCTTGCATTTGGTACAGTGATAGGGTTTCTCACCAGTGTGAGTTCTTTGATGCTCAATAAGGTGTGACTTCCAACTGAATGCTTTCCCACAGTCACTACATTTATGGGGTTTCTCACCTGTATGAATCCTTTGGTGTTTAACAAGGCTCCTTCTCTGGCTGAAACTCTGTTTACACTGATTACACTGATAGGGCCTTTCTCCAGTGTGGATTCTCTGATGTCTAATAAGGGTAGAACTCACACTAAAGGTTTTTCCACAGTAATTACACTCATAGGGCCTCTCACCAGTGTGAATTCTCTGATGTTCAATAACAAATGAACTACGACTAAAGCTTTTCCCACATTCATTACACTGAAAAGGCTTCTCACCAGTATGAACCCTTTGATGTTGAACAAAATGGGCTTTACGAACAAAACACTTTCCACATTCTTCACATTTATGGCATTTCTCTTCTGTGTTTGCTCTCTTCCGGATGTTAGTGTTTCCTCTGAACATTTTCTGTTCCTGGGTCAAAGATTCCCGTGGTATTTCCCACAAGAAGATACCTCTCTGTTTATCTAACCTACCAACAAGTTCAAAGGTTTCTCTACCCATGGGATCCTGGTCAATTTCACTTTTGATTCTTGTAACTATAACACCCTGTGGTTCCACTTCTTCTTCAAGTTCTTCAATTTCTTGTTTCACAGTTGGTTCTTCCTCCTTATCTCTGTTCATAACATCTGAAATACAAACATCAGACAACTTCCTTAATGTCAAGAACTGTCAGAAAATAAGTTAATCAAGATAAATAAAATATAGTGTACTACTCACTGCATTATTGTGAAGATTAAATTATTTCATATATATTAATCATTTAAAATACTACCTCTCAAAGAATACAAGCTGTAAAAATATTATTAAGAGACAAGGTCTTGCTACATTACCCAGGGCTGTACTTGAAATCCTGAGCTCAAGAGTTCCTCTTGTCTCCATTCTTAAGTACTTGGGACTAAAGTTATAATGCACTATGCCCAACTAAATATTATTATTTAATATTCGTTATCTGATGAAATGAACGGGTTTTGGAGAGAGTTATAAAGAATGTTCCTAATTCAGAGAATGACACAGAGGAGCAAGCAGAGTTAGAAGGAAAACTGACAAAGCAATACTGAATAATACAAGGTAAGGTGGTTAAACAAAGAAAACAGGTAGGGGTGGGAATAACCAGGGTATCAGGGCAGAAAGAATATCATGGGAAGAAAACAATAGGTTCAAGAGAATTTAAGATGAGAATGCATTATTGGAATATGAGTAGACCAAAAAATTCACTGAAAGGAATCCAAAGAGGAATCTAGCAAAGATAAAAGAGAAAGAACTAGGGAAAGCTATAATTTATTCATGAATAAGAATTTACTATCAAAAGCATTCTAAGCACTACACAATGAAGTAGGACTCAAAGATAACACATGAAGTCACTACTGAATGAAACATGTTGAGAAAAAATGGATAAAACATGATGAAATATTAAATAAAAAGTAGTTCCTATATAGATAAAATGGCTTTCTTTTAAAAAAAAGGATTGAAGTGACACAGTTTATATGATCTAGACAATATAAAGTATAAAAGAGCATGATGAGAATGATAGAAATGAAGAAAAAAGCAATCTATGGCAGCTTATGACCTCCTTACAAATCGTAGCATTCTTCAAGTACAAATGATTCTTAACCGTCTAATGATATGTGACCCAAGTCTCACCATCTTTTTTCAACTGACAATTTGTACATCTGAGAAATATAAATCTTGCACACATTGAAGAAAATATATGATAATGGTGTAGGATTCAACAGAGTGCCCTACAAGACCCTTAATATATATTAAGGCTATCTCTGACTTCTTTCCTGATTTTCCAGCTTATGCGGCCTCTTTGATAATTCAACTAGAAGATTCAATAACTAAGAGATTCCTATTTGACCCTAAATAAATACTTTGTTTTTTCATAGCCCCCTTTTCTCTCAGATTACTAGTCTTTTAACTGCAGTCATGTATGGATTTTCTCATAACTTACTTCAAACCAATTATTAGGGTATTTTATTAAAAAGAAAAACAAAACAAAAACACTATTTCTTTTACTCTAATTAAGTACTAGCACTCTGATTTCTTCTCAGGCTTTTTACAGTATTCTCTCTCAAATACATTTTCAGTGCACTGTTTCCTGTCACACAAAAAGGAATAAAAAAACTCCCTCAACTTTCTGCTTTTCACCTATAAAATAACCTGTAGTAATACATGAAGATATATGCCATCCTATCCAAATCTAATCCATCTACACTCTGATCCCAGAGCAATTGTTCAATTATTTTCTTAGTTTTTCAATTTACACTTTCCATTAACAGCTTCCTACCACCATATAAATATGTCCAACTTTATCTTGAACCTGAAGTCCCTTCCTTGATGAAAACCAAATGCTGGGGGGAAAATAACCATGCTCAACCTCCTCTCATTCAATTTATTCCACAAGCTACACATAGGGAAACTTCTCATCAAGTCACTAATGTCTTTCAAACCATAATGGGGATTTTTCAGTTCTTATTTTATTCAGCAGTATTTGAACCTATTTCTGCTTTCTATGCTATTACATTCTTTAGGTAGTTCTTCCTTTTCCTAATAAATCCTCCTCATTTATCAGCCTTTGACAGAAAATGTTATACCTAATTGCTAGTTTTATATCCTTACTTGCTCTCCATTTACATCTTCAGGTTATTGCTAGTTAGATGCCTCATAAGGGGCTCACAGTGAACTTGGACATCGCCAAGTAATGTCTTTCTCCACTGTTAATTACCTCTTGAGAGGCACCACTATCAATTACTCTAAAGTCTTAGATTTCCCTCCTTTTTCTTATTGTTAGTCACTGAAATAATTGATTTCTTTCTAGAATCTACTTTCTCCTTTTAAACATTATAATCATGTACCCATCTAACTATCCTTGGCCCTGGTCTTTGAGCTGCATTCAAATTATATTTACTTTAGTTACTCTAGAGAGATGTTTCAAAAATGGAATTGCAGTCACATCATCACATGTAGATTCAGCTTTGAGATCAAATGAGAGCTTGCTATTATCATATTCAGAACTCTTCATAACATGGTCTAGACCTAAACTCAACATCTTGCTCATTCTATCATATTTCATGTAGGTAAGCTATTTGTGTTATAACATTTTCATATTATATTTTTGCATATCTCTTTTATTAAGTGTACTTCAGTACTGTTTACGGGGCAAACTCGTAGTTCTTTAAAATTTAGTAAAGCAATAGATTCTCTACAAAGTCTCTGCCAAATCCAACAGGCTTAGTTCTATTTTTTATTACCAATTTTTATGTTATTGCTTATAACTCCATAATCAGAAACTTCACTAGATGCCATTATTATATTACACTTTAAAACTGTTATCTATTTATCTCTTCCACTGGTTGTAAATTCCTTGTGAAAAGAAAAAAAAATCTATATGCTTACCCAGTGGATACTGCATAATCAGAAACTTCACTAGATACCATTATTATATTACACTTCAAAACTATTTGTTATCTGTTTATCTCTTCCACTGGATGTAAATTCCTTGTGAAAAGAAAAAAAGAATCTATATACTTACCCAGTGGATACTGTTTTGAGGTTTAACTCAAACAAATAAGAATATATGAGTATCTACCTAACTTCCTAAAAGAATCAAATGAAAACATATTAGCAACTATATTAAAAAACTAGTTCTTACTACCAAGGAAACCAGTTAATACATATTAAATATTATTTACCAGTTAGTAAATAAAACACAAATACACTCTTCATAGTACTAACAAAAGATATAAAGCCTAGGAATAAAGAATAATCATAGTAAGAAATGTGTCGCTCTAGCAGAGCATGATGAGTCATGCCTGTAATCCAAGTTACTAAGGAAATGGAAGCAGGAAGATCACGTAAACATTACTTGAGCCCAGGAGTTAGAGGTCAGCCTGGGCCACAAAAAAGACCTCATCTCAAAGAATAAATCAATAAGGATGAAGAAATAAAGAAATGTACAAGAAACACAAATACACTCTTCATAGTACTAACAAAAGATATAAAGCCTAGGAATAAAGAATAATCATAGTAAGAAATGTGTCGCTCTAGCAGAGCATGATGAGTCATGCCTGTAATCCAAGTTACTAAGGAAATGGAAGCAGGAAGGTCACGTAAACATTACTTGAGCCCAGGAGTTGGAGGTCAGCCTGGGCAACAAAAAAGACCTCATCTCAAAGAATAAATCAATAAGGATGAAGAAATAAAGAAATGTACAAGATTCATAAAGCAACATTTTTTGAAAGATAAAAGGACAGTTAATCAAATTGGCTAAAGAAATTTAATACTATTAGACTTTTCAAACTATTTTATGAAACTAAAAACATTACACTAAAAATCACATGAACCAATTAACAACCCTAAGAAATCTAAATTTCAACAGGAAGAATATAGACAATTGGTTAGTGCATCTTGAAAAAGAATTTTAAAGAATAACTCATAAAATATAACATTTTGGTAAAGTAAATTAAACAATGACACTGGCATAAAAATTAATAACACAGGCTGATGAAGAAAATGAATGTAGTCTTTTACACAGAGCACCCTTGAAATGACTACTGGATCTGGACTTGGTGATTACATGTCATAATTATATATAGTCCCATGCTCTGGTCATAGCTAATTTACTTACAGTAGGCAACTAACTCAAAATTGTTGCTCTCCAGGAGGTTTGGAAAATGAAATTTAAATCTGAACATGACTAGATTTGCAACCTATCAACTCAGAAGCTAGAATGATACAAACACATTGGCATAAGGAGGAAAAACTAGTTTGCCAATGAGAAAGAAACAAAGTAAAAGAGAATGTTATGGACTACTATAATGTTCTCCCTGAAAATATTTTTGATGCCCTAAGACCCAGTGTGATGCTACTTGCAGGTGGTATCTTCAGTAGGTAATCAGGTTTAGATGAAGTCATGAGGTTGGGGCTACATGATGGGACTACAGTGGTCTTATAAGAACAAAGACAATATGCTCTTTGGGCCTTGCTACTCCTCTCTCACCCATGTGATGACATAGTGAGAAAGCTACCTACAAGTCTTAAAAGAGAGCCCTCACCGGGAACTGAGTATGTCAGAACCTTGATCATGGACTTCCCAACCTCCAGAGCTGTGAGAGATAAATGTCTTTTGTGTAAGTTACCCACCCAGTCTATGCTATTTTATTATAGCAACCTAAAGTAACTAGGACAGAACAATTTCTGACTCACTGAGATTGATTCAATTTCTGGTTTCAGCTGTTTCCTGATGTTCAGCTATCATGCTGACATAACTCTATAAAATATCCCTACATCCTTATAATTCCCTTGTTGGCTTATGCTAGCTTAATAATCTTTAAAGTTCTAATAATATGGTAGCTGAGGGAAGAGAAGGAAAGGAGATGGTAACGCAGAAATGGATACACTTTA